CTATTCCAATTCCTATCCCAAAAACAGTCAGATAGTTGCTAACCATTCGAGCTGATTTTAATAGAGAATTTGATACATACAAATTCATTGATTGATTCATTGATACATATTTTTTAATTCTTTATTATTTTCTTAAAAGTGTATACTAGTGCAAATAGCTTTAAGTGCCTTGTCATAGTATTAATTGTTTTGTATATAGTTTCGTTTTTTTTATATAGAATGTTTACCTTATATTTTTTTTTACATTATTTCTTTTTTTCGATTGATTTTATTTTGGCCAGATGTGATCTTTTAATTTTGTTCTATTTTGTTATTCTCAAGGAACTGTGTCCCAGAATAAAATTATTTTTCTATCTATAATTAAGGCGTTTGTCTAATTATGCTATTGTGATACTTCATTTTATAATGTTAAAGGAAAAGAAAACAAGGGGAAATCATGATGTAATCAGATAACAGCTATTGAATACTGTTTTAGCTAAATATTAATTATTATGAGTTTAATGTCAATAAGATAAGACTTTTCTTTATTTATTTTATAATTTTTTACTATTGTTATTATTATTGTTTTTTATGTTAATTATTTCTAACTATGAATAAATATTATTTCTTACTTTATCAATCAAGTAAGGAGTGTTAGTTACATTTTCTTTACTGTTTTGATGGTTAAAGAGACTATTATCAATCTTATTCACAGTGGCTATAAAGTAAATTGTTATTTTACAATTATTTATAATAATTAATGGCTTGGATTGCATTCACATGAAGATATGATGTTTAGGAGTAGTGAAGGCATGACCCAGGCATCTCTTCATAATCTCATTTCTCCCTTTATTTATTTTTCTTCTTATGTATATAACTATGATACTTTACTCTAATTATCGTTCTGATTTGCTTTTCTTTCACTTATATCCGATTATTATTATATTTTTAATCCACATTTATTTCCAATATTCAAAATATTTCACTATCCAATATATCTCAATTGTAATTGTTCTACGACACGCTACAGAGCTTTACACTCGATTATGTCAGTTCCTTCGGGATTTCGTTTCTGGAAATAAGCGTGGGCCTGTGAGATGTGGTGGTCAAAACGGCCGAGGATCTGACGCCTGTTGGGTCCCTTAAGTGACCTGCGAGGGATTGTTGGAGGGGATCATGATGCTGAGGGTGGCGCATATAAATGCCGAATCTTTGACGGCCCATATTGATGAAGTTAGATGGATTTTTGAGCAGGTCAAGTTAGAGGTGTTGGCCGTAAGCGAGTCTTGGCTTGTTCCGACATTATCATCTCGTATTGTCGGTGTCAATGGCTACAAAGTTTACAGGAATGATAGGGAGCTTATATCTAGCGGTATATGTAACGGATAGGTAGCTTGTCGCTGAGCTTGAAACCTCGGTGTATGTTGAAAATCACCCAGAGTATCTGTTTCTTGGGGTTCGGGCACCTGGTGTGTATATTTGTATCGTAGCGGTCTACCGACCTCCAAAGGGTGGATACTTTTCTGACATTGAGGATTTCCTCTCGTGCTACCAAGACAAGTATTCAGACATCTTACTGCTTAGGGATCTGAATAATGATCTTTCGGCTGGCTCATTCAATTCGAGACAAATGGCCGCTGTGTTTAGAACGCTAAATTAATGCATGCTCTCTTTCAAAGCCACTAACCATACTCATACCGCCGCTATAAATTCTGAGACTTGGATTGACCACATCGTAGTGTCGGACATTTTTAATGTGGGGTCCCATGGACAAGTTCATGTTCCGGGGATTTTGGCACATGACATCATATTTGTTCTATATAAGTAGGGCCCCTCGTCAAGTTGATTTTCTCCGGCAAAAAGTAGAAATTTGAAGAAGATAGATCCTGAGGGATTTAAAATAGATACACAACAGTTGGACTGGTCCGAGTTTTATGGCAGCACTGACGTTAATGCAAAGGTTAAATTATAAACAAAGAAGATAACAGAAATCTTCAATAAGAATGCACCTCTCATATGGACATATAGAAGACGTAGTATGAAGCCTTTTATTTGGATGTCAGAAAGAATCAGATCCCTAATGGCTAGAAGAGATTTCTTATTTGACATGTCTAAAAAAGGCGATTCCTGGGATGATGCTGCGCAATACAGACGTTACAAAAAAAAGTAAAGACTGCTATACATGACGCTACGAGGTAATATATATTAGAAAGCCTTAGTAAATGCGCCCCAATGAAGTATGGAAAGAACTAACAAATAATCGAGTCATTGATATCTGGAGGATAGATGGGGATATTCTGTGAGGCCTCGATGGACTCAATCGATTTTTTGCATCCCATCACTTGGGTCTGGTATTGTGGTCAAATATTTTGTACCGACAAATGATTATGTGGATGACCTGATTTTTGATGGGATCGCTGAAGATGATGTTGTCTGGAGTATCAGTTGGGTGAGGTCGGGTGCAGCTGGAGTAGATGGGTTCTCAAGGAAGATGATCGAGAAGGTGAAGGATACAATCCATGTCTTTGTCGATATTATAAATGCATCTTTGCAGCAGTACAAGTTTCCCGAAGCGTGGAGACGATCGATACTCAGTCCTATCCCTAAAAAATTAAAGCCCGTGACACTTTCGGATTACCGGACAATCGCTCTATTGCCCATTGTTTCAAAAATACTTAAAAGGATTGAGAGGAACTTAGGAAGATTTATTGAAGATAACGAAATATTATCTCCATTTTTAAGTCTGGCGAAGTACATGCACTGCACTTCATACAATACTGACTGAAGTGCGGAGAGCAATGGAAGAACGAATGGTTACATTATTTGTATCACCCGATCTCACTTGGGCCTTTGACTCTGTCGACCGCGTAATGTTGCTGAGGAAATTCGGAGGCTTTGGGGTAGGCGAACAAGTTTCACAGTGGTTAAGACCATATTTGATCGGACGGGCCCAGCAAGTGAGAGCACATGATCATTTCTCGAGGTGGCTAGAATGTAGCTTGGGTGTCCCACAGGGTTCCGTTCTTGTTCAGCTATTGTTCGTTAGGTACATTAACGAAGTTGTCATGGCTCTGAAATACTGTTAAATCCACATGTTTCTGGGCTTCTGCATTGCCTTAGGAGGTAGTTGGGACTATGCTGCGGGTTAATAACGATATTAATTCACTTCAGCGCTGGGATTCCTCCAACATACTCCACCTAAATTATAAAAAATGTAGCTGGATGCTAATAGGGAGCCCTAAAATTGTTGCAAAAGCCGAAAAGGACACTTTGCTTCCCCAACTGACTGTCACGGATGATGTCATACTCCGATCTGGGAAAATGAGAATCCTTGGAGTAATGATTGGTAGCTGTTTTTAGTGACAGGATCATGCTGGTCTCGTAGTGAGCCGAATATATGTTGTTATGCATTCTCTCTCAAGGTAGAAGAGACTATTGTCGCCAAGAAAATAATTATATCTGCAAAACCCGTATTACCTCAATGCCACGGTAGGGATTAAATAAATAAATAAAATAATTATATTTGCGTTAATCCTTCTCCTGGTGTGATACTGCGACTTTGTCTAAATTGACATATGACGCCAGATGGCTCTCAACAATGCAGTTAGCTTCATATGAGAGAGATTTCTAAATTGTGTGCGTAAATAATAAATAGAATACTTGATAGTTGACCGTTGTATTATTAACGAAGGAAGTGGTCCGGAGAGGCGATCATAAATAGGCTAAGTACTGGCAAAACTATTTGTGGCTTGTGGCAACAATATTGGCTTTTAATAATATAGTTTTACCACTATTTAGTCTGTTTATGATCGCCACCCTGGACCGTCTCCTTCCTTAATGAATAATAAATGTTTTTATTTTGATTATTTATTAATAAAACATATGTTGGGTTAATAAACTGAATACGTGAGGTTTTAACATGGTTAACTCGCGTATATAAACGTTAGGACGAAAATATTACAGCATGTTATATCTTATTTTACTTTAGAGATTTTTTACCTTTTTCCTGTTGTTCGCTAAAATTAATTAATAATAAGTAGTGACATTTATCGATAAGGTTAGGGACTAGGTAATGATGCCCTGAGTTCTGAATTGCTTCTGTTGGAGGTAGCTTTACCGCAAGCCTGGCCAACCCAAACGGCTTTACGGGCCACTTTGATGAGGCGTAACCGTACATACGCCAGCACTTAAGCTTAATATACCTTTAAATATATAATATAAATGAAACTAAGAATAAAACTGCTTTACAATGGTATGATTTAATACAATTATCAATCGAGTATTTGATTATAATTTCATTCACTACATTTTTCTGATTATTTTTATACAACTCGACATTTGTGAATATCAAATCACTCAATTTCTTATCCATTATAACAATAGATCCTTCAATTTTTTTTTTTTTTTTCACGCGATAAACTCAACTATAAACAAAACAATTTAAACCTCCCAAAAAACTATCGTAATAACACAATATAATAGATACTACATAAGGCAATCGATAACATACAAATAAAAATGAAACTGTGAAAATTCTGGACAGATAAATCCTCCTACAGTTTATAGCAACAATAAGTAAAAAGAACATATACCAGAGGTTGACAAATTTAATTGAAATTTCGAAAAATTTATTTTATTTTGAATAAATTAAATTGTAAAATATAATTTCGTAATGCATTGATGGTATGCTAAATTCTTGGCAAAATTCAAAATAAATATAATCTTGTTTGTAAAAAATAAATAAAAAGCCAAATTTTGCCAGGTTTAAAAGGAGGAACATGGATGTTAAATGATTGAAGATTAAATAGGATATTATGAACTATATTATGTCTGTAAACAAAATAGTCATCACAATTACATCTTCTGATTTACAGTTTTTTAATAGGAGTCAATCCAAATAAAATATTTTATAGTTTTTTAAATATACTTATTACCAAGTTATTAGCCACAGATGTCAAAGTGAATCCGTCTGAACATACTTTTCTTAGTATTTCTGTATATAACAACTTATAGTTACTCACTGTTTTTACGTAGATCGTTGTAGGTTGCGAGATCACATCTGCACTGGCTTGATTAGTATTATGACATAGAGCATCAACTTCAGTTGATAGAACATTAAAGGGATTTGATAATTCGAAACTAACCTGTCTCTCTGGATCAGTAGTTGACGAGACCAAATGACACACAGGAAACCTTCAACCAAATAACATCTCAAACGTCCCAGTCATTACAACACAACTGACAAACTTTATAGACAAATTAAAAAATTCTGTTTCACCCCTAATATCATTGGTAACATCGTTGGTACAGCATGTTCTTCCAAACCTTACCTAATGAAAGGACTAAAAGTAATTCTCTGGAATACTAATGTTGTATTATAATAACATATGATGAATAATAAATCACCTGATAATAAATAGAAAGAATACAATTGTTCTAATTAAAAAAAGAAAATGTTATGGGTATAATGGCATCAACAGACTAACTACTTACTACTTCTACTAATTGGTAGAACTGTAATAATAATTATCTCATTCAGACGATTCAGAGGATTGTCAGGAATCGAAGGGGATACAAGGTTAGAAAAAGATGAGTATGGTGGGGCTAAATTTTATTATTGAAAGACGAATGGAGTGATACGAATGGAGGATTTGCTAAGGATTTTTTATTATAATGACCGATAAGTAATAGATGATTTAAATCCAAATGGGCCGTATTATGGATAAGTAAATGAGTCTTTTCTAGTTAATTGGAAGTTTGGCAAGTAAGTATTAAAGTAGCCAGAAACGTCGTTTCTCGTCGTTAAAGTCTATTTTGCGGATTTCAAGTAAAACGTTTGTCTAAATAGAGTCTTAGGTAGCGGATCCGTTCAACAGGTATAAATGTAGTATTATAAAAAGGATATTATAGGAGCGGAAGTTATATGATCACAACGAAGGGTAAAAGTGATTTAATGGGATTGGTTGGAATTTATTTCAATTCCTCAATTACGACACCATTCTTCATGGTTTTTGACAGAAGAGTTTGGGAAGCAATAAATGGTCCGTTATCAACTGATAATAATTATATATGATCAGAATATGTGATAATAATAGTGTTAGATAGGTGGAATGTCACATCCTTGAACTGTGTCGATTATGAGACCTAGAATACTATCTTGAGAAGCACTATCGGACTGAGAAAGGAGGGATGAATAGACACCATTGCGGTTTTATATAAAATATCTTATTAAGTTTCCTGAAAGGTATTTTATAAATGAAATGATACGTGGGAAACATCTTATTAAGCTTTTAATATGAGAAGGAGTTGATCGGGGGGTGCGGTCAAATTAATAATAAATTAAACAAGTAGAATTATTTAATTTTCTAGTCTCATCCTTCGGGTTTGGTGCCATTTTCTCATAATCTAACATATGTCTATTATAGGCCATAGGTCACCAAAAAAAAAAAGACAGGTTTTTTATATATATTACATGTATGTTTATTCCAACGTTTCGGCTTCAGGAGCCATTTTCAAGAACCTGCAAACTAAATATTAATTTACTTTTTACCATTCAAGTATAGCCTCAGACAATAAACTTGTATCATTCACCTACTATGCACCGCGCCATAAAATTTTTAAAATTTGTCATTACGATATGATTTGTCCTAATTAATTCTTTTATTTCAAGGAATGTCGTTTTGCGTTTCTAAAAATTGTAATATATAATTATAAATTAAAAATAGACTGCTATAATTAATTTAAATTTTTTAATTTTCGATTTATATACCTCTATTTGCAGACGGTATCAAGAAAGTATTGTTCTTCAATAGGGCATTCATACAGGACTGGATTTACTTACATAAGGAGTGGGGTGGGTTAGTGATCAGCTGTTTTATATCAGTACGCTATATATTAATTTTGTCAATCGTGCTAGCATAAAACGTGTTTAAATTATCAACATCTGTCTGTTGATTCACTGAATGTTTTAGATTTTTAGTGATAAAAATAGATTCAATGATTCTACGTTTCCCAATATTTTGTTCTCTATGCAACACGGTAGCAGTACCGAAATCAAATTTATGTCCATTTTTTGTGGTATGCTGCGATAATCCTGTGGCTAATTTTGATTTTGTCGTTTTAGACCTGCAATTTTGTCTATGTTGCTGTGTCCTACGTTCAAACCATTTTGAGGTTTGTCCGTAATATGCTTTATTTTCACAATCCTCGCATCGTATTTTATAAACAATATTAGTTAGTTTTCTTTTAGGATAATATCCTTAGTTCTACTATATAATTTATCTAATTTATTAATAGGTTTTTTCCCAAATCTGATTTCATTTATATCTTATTTTTTAAAAGTTTTTCCAATTTTATCAGTTAAACCTCTAATATAAGTGACCGAAAAATATTTTTTGGGGTTGGGGTCTGCGTTAATATTCTTATTTTTCTCATTCTGAAATTGTAGATCAGGATTTTCTTTGTTATGCTTATGTTTTTCAGTATTATCTACTTCAAAATAGTTTGTGATTAGATTTGCTTTTTTATTTTTGGTCTTGTTTTGATACGTTTTTATATTGTTATTGATGTTTGGACCCTTTATTTCTTTATAATTATCTATGTTTTTTTCTCTTTTATCTTTGTGCCATAATTTATTTATCAGTCTTATGGGGTACCAATTTTGGAGTAGAATTTCATATATTTGTGTTTTTACTTCTTTAATATGTATTTTATCTGTGATTAGTTTGGCCCTATCTATTAAATTTTTAGCTGTATTAATTTTCTGTTGTGTATTATGGTTACTATGCCAGTTTAGTAATCTACTGCTCGTAATAACTTTTTTACACCACGATGTTTTTAGTATCCCTGCTTCATTTCTATTTATATTCATGTCCAAGAATCTAATTTTATTGTTTTCTTCCACTTCATTTGTGAATTTAAGTTTATCAGACAATGAATTTAATATGTTTAAGAAAATGTTTATTTCATTTTTGTCTATAATCGTCAGGATATCGTCAACATACTTTATAAAAATCTTAGGAATTTTATTAAATTTCTTTATAGCTTTATTCAACAGGCTATTTAGGTATATGCCGCTAAGATTAATCGATATAGCTCCTCCCATCAACAGTCCGTTTCTAATTTTAAAGATATTGCTATTGTATGTGAAGTATCCGTGGTCACAGATTAATTTTATCCCCTACGTGAACAGTGCTTTATTTTTAATCGTCGTATGGGGTTCAATTTCCTCCCAATTTGTTTCCAATATCTTATATAGTTCTTTAAGGGGAATATTTGTAAAGAGGGATTCCGCATCATAACTTACTAGGGATTCATTATCTTCAATTTTGTTAACATTATTCATCTTATCTATTCTATTCTATTCTATTCTAATTCTAGGGAAGTTAAAGATAAGATGAATAATGTTAACAAAATTGAAGATAATGAATCCCTAGTCAGTTATGATGCGGAATCCCTCTTTACAAATATTCCCCTTAAAGAACTATATAAGATATTGGAAACAAATTGGGAGGAAATCGAACCCCATACGACGATTAAAAATTAAGCACTGTTCATGGAGGGGATAAAATTAATCTGTGACAACGGATACTTCACATACAATAGCAATTTCTTTAAAATTAGAAACGGACTGCCGATGGCATAGGTATATGCTTAGCGACATATACCTAAATAGCCTGTTGGATAAAGCTATAAAGAAATTTAATAAAATTCCTAAGATTTTTATAAAGTATGTTGACGATATCCTGATGATTATAGACAAAAATGAAATAAAAATTTTCTTAAACATATTAAATTCATTGTCTGATAAACTTAGGACACAGCAACATAGACAAAATTGCAGGTCTAAAACGACAAAATCAAAATTAGCCACAGGATTATCGCAGCATACCACAAAAAATGGACATAAATTTGATTTCGGTACTGCTTCCGTGTTGCATAGAGAACAAAATATTGGGAAACGTAGAATCATTGAATCTATTTTTATCACTAAAAATCTAAAACATTCAGTGAATCAACAGACAGATGTTGATAATTTAAACACGTTTTATGCTAGCACGATTGACAAAATTAATATATAGCGTACTGATATAAATCAGCTGATCACTAACCCCTCCACCCCACTCCTTATGTAAGTAAATCCAGTCCTGTATGAATGCCCTATTGAAGAACAATACTTTCTTGATACCGTCTGCAAATAGAGGTATATAAATCGAAAATTAAAAATTTTTAAATTAATTATAGCAGTCTATTTTTAATTTATAATTATATATTATAATTTTTAGAAACGCAAAACGACATTCTTTGAAATAAAAGAATGAATTAGGACGAGTCATATCGTAATGACAAATTTTAAAAATTTTATGGCGCGGTGCATGGTAGGTGAATGGTACAAGTTTATTGTCTGAGGCTATACTTGAATGGTAAAAAGTAAATTAATATTTAGTTTGCAGGTTCTTGAAAATGGCTCCTGAAGCCGAAACGTTGGAATAAGCATACATGTAATATATATAAAAAAACTGTGTTTTTTTTTTTTTTGGTGACCTATGGCCTATAATAGACATATGTTAGATTAGTAGAATTATTTAATTTTTGCCGGCGTTTCAACCCACTTTGCAGGTCTTCATCAGGGCTGCAAAAGATACAAAACATGGTGAAAATAAAATAAATGAATATAAGTATAAATATAAAATAAATATAAGTTGTCTGATACAGAAATAAAAAGATGATATCAGAGATATATTGGGTGACAATGTAGTTAAAATATCAAGTATTATATGTAGAAGATACAAACAAAAATGGAAAATAAGTATGAGTAAAAATATAAAATAATTTATTATTGTTTGATTTATTATTAATTTGACCGCACCCCCTCCCCCCCCCCCCGACCAACTCCTTCTCATATTATATCAACGGTCAACCATCTCGATATCATTATGCTTTTAATATTTTAATGCGGATTTTCTTATATCAATTCTGAACAGTAGAGTTGCATTATTCTAAAGTTGTTCGATACTGATTATTATTGTCCTTTTTAAAAAAAAGATATATATATATTATATATATATATCTATATCTATATATATATATAACTAGTTTCATAACATCGGATAACTATTTTTAAAGAAAAAAGAGTAATTTATATTAAAAATGATAGTATTTTAATAATATCATCTTATCATTGTTCGTCGAACTTTCTCTTTGAATGTTCCTATCAACTATCAACTCTTCGTAAACCGATTTCAGCATAAAAGATATCTCGTTTCAAACTTCAAAGTAATTTTACTCTGAGTTCAAATTAAAGAAGATTTTAAAGGATACCCTGACTAAACAAACAAATAGGAATTTTTTGAGT